GCGCTACTCTCCCAGTGCCTGGAAGTCGTGGCCCTAGATTTGCCCGGCTTTGGTAATTCCAAGCTCGAATTCAAAGACAGCCACAAGATCGTCAGTGATATCTCTGCAGAGGAAAAAGCCGACATCTCCTCGAGCGTGAAGGCCTTGCTGTGGGGCGACTACGCTACTGAGAACCTAGTGAGCATGATCAAACAATATATTCAGCAGACCGTGGCTCCTGAAAAGAAAGTGATACTTGTGGGTCACTCCATGGGTACTCACTTAGCCACGAAAACTGCTAATGTGCTCGAAAAAGGCAAGGTAGAAGGCCTCGTGTTGTTATCTCCTCCGCCTTTCGTCGATGACGTTCACCAAAAAACCGAGTCAAAGCACTCGCTCGGTTTCTCTGGCTACTTGATGAAATTTGCGTGGATCTTTAACTTATTTAGAGTCTGGGACAGACTTCCGGGTCTCATCAGCAAGAGCGTGTACAGACAATTGACCCACCAGAGCAGTCTACACCAACGAGCACGCCAATTCAGGTGGAATCTTGACATAGACACGAGGATACTACTCCGTTACATCAGTGGTTTCAACCGTGCTGGCTACCTGGAACTAGTCAACGCTATCTTTAGACTCAACAATAACGTCAAAGATCCAAAGACATACGAGAAGACGTTGCTCGTTGGAGGTATTGACGACAAGGTCACGTCTGTCAAGATCATTCACGACTTGAATGATTTCCTCACGGAATACTGGCAGAAGAAGGTATGCAACGTCGTAGAGGTGAAGAATGCGGGCCATTCTTTGCTCCTATCGAAGCCTGAGTTCATCAGCGGGCTTGTCCTTAATCACTTTGAACTGCGCTTCCCAGAGCGTCTACATTTACTGCCTGCTTGGGTACTCAAGCTAAAAGCCGAAATCTCAGGTGACAAGTGGGGTTTGAAGAATGAACTCAAGTGGCTGCAAACACAAGCCATCTCCCACAATATAACAAGACGCAACGGAAAAGATGTGGCTAAATTGCTTGGAATGAAAACTCTAAGAGAAGGTGATGAAAACCACTCGCCGCTGGTAGTTGAGAACAAATTTTACGGGGACGCTCAGGACGGTAACCCAATCAAGGGCAAATTAATAGCCATCGTTGACATCTCCGCAGATATACCACCCTACAGTCCCAAAACGTTTGAGAAAATACAGTATTACAAGTGTGCCACTGTGTCGAAAGTGGTGCCTGACCACGTGGCTATCAGGCGATTCATACAGCTCATTGATGATATCCTTGGCTCTACGAGCGAGCCTGAGCCGCTCATAGCCGTGCACTGCCACTATGGGTTCAATCGCACTGGATTCTTCATTTGTTGCTATCTCATAGAACGTTGTGGCTGGTCCGTGAGGGAGGCGGTGGAAGGGTATAAAAGCGCCAAATCCCCAGGCATAAAGCACCCGCACTTTGTGGACGCTCTCTATGTCAGGTATGAAAGATAGAAAACGGTTGCAAACCCAGGTGGTCCTGTACGGCAGGCAAGGATGAGGTGCGGCCCTATCTACCCACTATACTCGAGGTAGATAAGCATCCCACTTCTCTCCACGATCCCGCAAATCAGCCTCCAGAATGAAGTTTGGCGAAGCCTTAAGTCAGGGTTTGGTGCCTGAGTGGAAGGAGCAGTATGTGGACTACAAGGCGGGGAAGAAGTATATCCGCAAGGCCTCTGCTAGTCGACAGGCAGCCGAGGACCTGAGGTCAACAGACACCACGCCTTTGCTACGTACTCGTGACGATGGCCGCCCTTATGTTTCCAATGTCCCACAACTTCCACCAGCCGCGTCTCAGGGTCCCGATGATACTTCCAGAAGAAAAGGCTCGATCTTCAACTTCTCGAGCAAGTCTAACAAAGACAAAAGAGACCAGTTCAACGAGGACAAGACAGAATTTTACAAGTGGCTCGACGCTGAGTTGGAGAAAGTAGATACGTTTTATAAGCTGAAAGAGAAAGAAGTATATGAAAGATTCCTCATCCTCGAAGACCAATTTTTCCACTTGAAAGACCACAGGGGACACATGCAAAAACGTGTTTTGTCTGTTGCATCCTCCAGGGTACCGGCTGGTGCTACTGTTGATAGCCTTGCCATTAAGTTCAGGGCCTGGATGCTGCGTTTGCAGAAGTACGAGTTCCCTTCGCTTCCATCAACGGCATTTCTCAACAAATGGAGGAAGAAGAAGCTGAAAGATACGAGCCTCCGCCTCACCGAACAGGACAAGAAAGACAATTATGATCCTAACTACATTGAGAATCAAATAAGAAACGGTGTGATTGGATTCCTTGATTCAGACGTTGACGACGAGCTGATCAACCCGTCCGAGGACGAGAGGATGACTCAGGTACCTGAGACCACACCTGCTCAGGCAAAGCAACAAAATAGACGTGACTACACAAAGAAAAAGAGCTTTGGCGTGCCTTACCTCTACGCAAAGAGACAATTGAAGGGCGCCTTGGTGGAACATTATAGACTTATCGCCTTGCTCAAGTCGTATAGAGTGATGAACAGAACAGCGTTCAGAAAAATCACAAAGAAGTTCGACAAAGCCATCGGCACTAGCACCTGTGAGGAGTTCTTGAAGCGGATTGACAAGCAATCGTACTTCCTTTCTAGTGTTGTCTTAGACAAGATCCTGAGTCGTGTGGAGGATCTCTTCATGACTTACTTTGATCATAATCAACATGACAAGAAGCTGGGATTGGAAAGGCTTAAAAGTACAACATACGCTTATACAAGCGCCGAGATTAGACAACCCCAGCATTATTTGAGCACCTTCTTGTCTGGTGCCTTCCTAGGCATTGGGCTCCCCTTATTTATTATCGGTTTGGTTGTGGCATTGGATAAAACATTGAGCAATCAAATGTCTGAGGGAAGATTTCTTCTTCAACTTTGGGGAGGTTTTCTTCTTATTAACTTGGCATTTTTCTTCGTGGGAATCAACTTGATAGTCTACGATCACTTCAAGATTAGCTACAAGTTTATTTTTGAGTTCAATTTGGCAAATGCCCTCGACTTCAAGCAGTTCTGGCTACTCCCCTCGCTAAGCTTTTCATTACTTGGGCTTATTGGGTGGTTTTCGTTCAAAGATTTTTGGCCTGAAACTTTCCCTGGCAGAACTTTCCCACTTATTTATTTGTGCATCATGCTCATCATCTTTCTTTGGCCGGGAACCCTGCTTTATGGAGCAAGCAGACAGTGGCTTCAGATAGCACTTTGGAGAATCTTGTGGTCAGGTCTATACCCTGTCGAGTTCAGAGATTTCTACTTGGGAGATATTCTCTGCTCATTGACGTATCCCATGGGTAACATATCCTTCTTCTTTTGCCTTTACGCAGACAAATGGAAGAATGTACTCGGTGGTGGTCAGGTTCCTTCCCTGACGGCAAGATGTGGTTCCGGTTACTCCAGACCCATGGGATTTCTTCAGTCGCTTCCATCCATATTCCGTTTCTTGCAATGTCTTCGTCGTTTTATGGACTCTGGTGATGCATTCCCTCATTTGGCAAACATGGTTAAATACATGATTGGTGCAGTTTATTACTGTTTGCTCAGTGTTTGGCGTATCGATCGCACGAGTCAGAACAGAGCTGCTTTTATCACTTTCGCTTGCATCAATTCCATTTATACATCGGCATGGGACATCGTGATGGACTGGTCGTTGGGCCTGACTACATCCAAGAACTTTCTTCTTCGTGACCATTTGTTCTATAAGAAGAGGTATTACTACTACATTGCCACGGTTTTGAATGTCATTCTTCGTTTCCAATGGATCTTCTACGCATTCTTCTCGAGTCAAATCCAGCAGCTGGCTGTGACCAGTTTCTGCATCGCTCTCGCTGAGCTTTTCCGTCGTTTCGTTTGGATGTTCTTCCGTATGGAGAATGAACACTGCACAAATGTGATTCTATTCAGAGCTTCCAGAGACTCCCCGTTGCCATACATGATTCTGTCGAAGGTAGAGTCGGCTATCAAGCGCTTGGTGGACATGAAATATGACGAATTCAAGTCTTCCGACGATGACTACTCTCCAGATTCCGAAGGCAGTGAAGAACCGGCCGCAGGAGTTCCTCCTTCAATCAGCAGGAAACTGGCTGCAAGAACCACCGCACTTAGCCGCAGACTGGCAAAATCCGACCAACTTTTCGACGAAGAGGCAAGCATTGACTCGCTGCGTAAGTCCGACTTCCACGGACCTGCCAAAATGGGCGAGGCGTTACGCAGGCGTTCTACTATTAATGCTATTCTGAATGCCTTGAATAAGGCCCATATTAAGGATTTCCAAAGAAAGACTTACACCGTCCCCGTTGATGACAGTGACGAAGAGGATGACGATGAGGAAGATCAAAAGAAGGTTGGAACTTCCAATAATCATCAATCTTCAAGGTAGAGAATGAAGGCGCTGCAGCGCTTCTCTATTAGCCTTTTCGCATCGGCAAGCAGAAATGGGCAAGCTTTGCTCACGTGAACCAACAAAGGCTGCTACAGGGTCCTGTGCACTCCGAGCCATGATGGTCAAGAATTAGCCCATAGTTTTCTTGAACTAAGTTATCTGTTCTCCCTACCTTGGCCCGACTAGTTTGCGCAAGCTGAATGCCACAACAGCGATAAGTCAAAGTTTATTTATCATCCCTATGAGCTAAATGGAGAGAGATTGCTTGAACCACTGTTAGTTTTTTTCACGATGCTCAGACACGGAGTCACTGAACTCGTGTGTTCGCTCATTGCCAGCTTGAACATCGTCACTGGCGTCTTCTTGTATTCTCAGGAACACAAGGATGGAATCACAATTAAGACCGCTTCCAGAAGGAAGGCCATCATGGCCTGCACCACAATGTGTCTCGTTTTCGGCGGCATCGCTGTGCTGTTGATGATGTACGACATTGCTACCCACAGCTGGTAGACTTTAGCATATGATAACAATCATTTAATTTTAATTTAATCTACGTGAGTGCAAACGTCATTTGTATATCCAGTATAGCTTAGATTTTCTGTTTCTTTGCAGGCACGGGAGTACCGGGAACGGAGAGGTCCGCATGGAAGTCCTTGATGATCGAGTCGACGTCATCGATGTTCAACTGTCTCACGTCACCCAACTTCTTGATCTTGTTGGTGACTTCCTTGCACTGCTCGTCTGTTAACTGCAAGTTCAACTGGTCGACTCTGGACTTGATGGCATTCCATCCGGTCAATCTATTAGCAAAGTGAATGTATCTGGTGAGACCGAAATCTGAGGGGCTCAAAATCTCGTAGGTAGAAGGGTTGGCCAAAATAGCCTTGGCGTGGATACCGGCCTTGTGGGTGAAAGCACAGAAACCAGTGATGGGGTTGTTAAAAGGAATGTTCACCTGAACAGCCTCGGCAACGAGGTTCTCGAGATCTCTCAACTTGTGCAACTTGTACTTAGAAAGCACATAGTCTCTGTCAGCAGCAATCATTCTCGACATGAGGCCTCCGAGGGGAGTGATACCGTTTCTCTCACCAATACCCAAAACAGAGACATCGATCAACTTGGCACCACCCTCCAAAGCAGTGTAAGCGTTGGCAATAGCACAACCAGTGTCGTTATGGAAATGACATTCGATGTCACAAGAAACAACTGACTTCAAGGTTCTGACCAACTCGTAGACCTGTCTGGGGTTGGCACAGCCAACAGTGTCGGCAATACCAACTCTGTTGACGCCGATTTTGTCGACGGTTTTGTAGATGTTCAACAAATCCACCAAGTCGGATCTGAAGGAGTCCTCGGAAGAGAATCTGATCTCGATACCCTTGGACTTGACAAACTCGATAACCTCAACTGCACTCTGGGCAATGTAAGACATATCTTTACCATGTGAGTACTGTCTCAAGAACTGGGAGGTGCCAATAACGACATCAACACCATCAACACCAGTCTCAACAGCCACCTTCGCGTCGTCCATATGACAACGGATATGGGTCAAGATCTTAGCCTTCAAGCCCAACTTACAGATAGCCTCACAGTCCTTTCTCGATTGATCAGAGGCAACTGGAGAAGTCAACTCGATGTAGTCAACACCAAAATCGTCAAGAGCCTTAGCGATTTCAATCTTGGTCTCTGTGGAGAAAAAAGCATTGGCGAACTGCTCTCCTTCTCTGAGAGTTGATTCAATCAACTCAAAACTGGAGACATTCGAAAGGAAATCGGCCGGGTTGGGGCCGTAAGGATTTTGCATGATGGCATCAGACGACCTGTGGGCGTCTTCTGTTACCTTGGTGAATCCCTCTGGGCCAGGCATGTTATAACGTTATCAGGGCGATGAGTTGAAAACGGTATTTTTTTGTGCTATCTCGATTGTACGGGTGCGGAAGCAGTCAGCCAGTATCATAACGGCCGAGCGTCTCAGATTTCCGTCACTAACAAAATAAAGGTTAGATTTCGAAATGGCGGCTTTTAGTTTACATTCATTTGGGTCAGTCATAGAGAGAATCAAGAAGGATTATTGCATTTCGGAGGCTTTATGGCCTTATCAGGGTGACGTTTTCGCAGCCAATAATCTGGTGCTTATTTAGCTGCGGCGGAGATATTATTTGGGTTGAGAAATTGCCAAAATACTTCACTGTTGGCAATTCGATAAGAAGCAATAACATATCTTTGCAAATGCTGACTTGATCTCTGAAACAGACATGAGTCTATCTTTTTCAGTTTGAGATTTTCTCAGTAGAGCTCTTTCTCAGACATCATGGGCAGCAGGGTGGAGTAGTATGTCTATGTCTCCCAGCTGTCTGACTCTCACTACAATTAAACGTCCAAAACATCATGTGTTGTTTCCATTTCTATAATACAATCGCCTAGCTCACTAGGCTCCGGGTGTCTGGGGTCACGAGGCCCAAGATTTCATTTTCGTAGTAGGAGTTCTCCGGTATAAGTACCGGGATCATGTTTTCGTACTCCGTGTCGTCCACATGAGAGATGTTCCAAAGATCTGTCTTTTTTGGCAAGAGGTTCAGGCTCGAAAATTTGTTGATCGCTGCAATCAACTCATCGTCGCCGCAAACCAAGTATCGGTTCACACGAAGAATAGGTGCAAAACGCTCGTCGTAGGCCACCAAATCAAGGTACTTGTGTAGGCGCTCACGGTATGGAGGAATGTCTTCGTCGATGGTGCTGTATTCGTCTCTAGGAGGCGGTCCCATGGCTGCCGTGGCCTGAGCATCAAGAGCACGGCGCCGGCGCCGTTCTGCTCTTCTCTCTGCTGCTCTTTCGGCAGCCTGAACTTGCCTGATTGCTCGTTCAGTTGCCCTTTCTTCACGCTGGCGAGCCCTTTCTTCTCTGGCCTCACGACGACGACGATTTCTTTCCTGAGCCTCGGGACTATTCTCGTCAAGTTCACGGCCTCTGCTTCTGTTGCGACGTTCCCGACGACGCTCACGTCTTTCTTCCCGACGAGTACGCTCGGCTTCCTCCTCTTGACGCCTTCTCTCGGCCTCTTCTTCTTGCCGGACACGCTCACGCTCTGCCTCTTCCTCCTGGCGAACTCTTTCTCTTTCAGCCTCCTCTCTCTGCCGTTGACGCTCCCTGCGCTCTCTGGCTTTTTCCTCCTCTCTTCTCTTTTTCTCGCGTTCCTTCTCACGTTCACGTTCCCGTTCCCGTTCCCGTTCACGCTCCTCCTCACGCTCTCGCTCTCGTTCCTGACGACGCTTTTCTTTTTCAGCCCGCTTTGCTTCTTTACGCAAACGCTTCTCTTCCCTGGATGCCTCGCGAGCAGCTTCCCTGGCAGCTTCCTTCTCACGTTCCAGCTTGAGAAACTCCTGCTCTTCAATGTACCACTGCTCCTGAGTTTGGCGTTCTCTGGCTGCCTCCTTCTTTTTTCTTCTCTCAAGCTTGCGATGCCGACGCTCAGCGTGGCGTATTTCCTTGAGAGCCTCCTCCATCTCTGGACTCGTGCTTTGGTTCTTTTTCTTAGCTTTACGCTCCTGGTGCCGTTCAAGGCTACGGCGGCGGTTGAGCTCGTTGTTCTGCCGCTGGAGCTCCTGCTGCCTGACCATCCTTGCCTCGGCCTCTACGGGATCAATATCCCCCTGTATGTCCTCCTTAGTCCCATCAGCAGGTTCCGTGCTGTGGTCAAATGCATGTAGCTGCGCTTTTCTCATGGCGCTGGTGCCTTCGAATCCTTGAAACTCGACTCTTCCAAAGTCTGGATCAAAGACATTTGCGGCTCGTTTCTGCAAAAGCTCAGACCAGTTTACAATTATAGGGTCTGTGGCGTAACGAGCCAGCCTTTTCCCGGCCTCAGAGTGGTCCATCTGGCTGCTCTGGTATATTTCTGGCGATGTCAGCGGACTCTTGTGACCGTTGTCCATGTCAGGTGAGATAGGAGGCAGCTTCCTCTTCGCTTTCAAAGGTCTGTTGTCGTCTGAGGAGTCGCTGTCTGTGTACTCGAAGCTGGACTCCTCGCCCGAGGGTCCTGGGTTCTTCTTCCACAAAAGCACCATCCTAGCAAACTCTGGTGGTTTTGTCAGAAGGCGATCTAGTTTTTTTGCACGTCTGTATTTTTGGCAATGGAGGAATATAATAACCCTCCCGTATTCGGAAAACAATGGCCTGCAGGAACTGCCGTCAAGCAGCACTGTGAGACGCTCTTGCTAATGCGCTACGGTTAGGAGAAATCGATGAGGAAGAGCAGAGAAAAAAAAATCCAAGAAAGCAGAAATCTCGATGATCATCGGCTGAATCGTCTTTCGTGGTCTTTGCTGTAATTTGTAGACGCGTTGGTGCCTTTTTGCGTAGCGGACTCACATTCCGTACATTACGCATTTTGTAAGTCCACTATACCCAGGGTCTCGTCGGAAGACGACTGCCCGGCAGATGAACGTATGGTGACTTCCGCAAGTTTCTTTTAAGGGGTCAGGTACTTTTGGGGGTCTGTTTTATTGCTGAGGGGACCAAACTGTTTGGTTTGTTGCTTTGAATTATAGTATAGATTGTATTTTTGCCAGAAGGCAGCAAGCATCTTTTAGTTTGCATAATCTGGCTGCGAAGGGCTCTCTCACTGCAAAAGTGTACCATCCACCAAAAATCGAAAACCACCTCAAATTTTAAAAAACTTAGATTCATGATTTCGATGTCTATAGCGCCTATATTGGAAGAAATACCAATCCAAAATTAGAGCTTGGGGGCTTGTGGTGCTTCTTTTTGAGATTGACGTTCGCTTAGGCATGAGCCGCGGCACTGGCTCCTGCGGCGAGACTAGGTCCATACTCCTATTTTGTGTAATGTAATACGAGATCTTTCTGATGGCCCAGCCTTGGGAATAATGTCCCCGAAACCCCTTTATTTTGTAAACAATGATGGAAATCCATTATAGCGCGGAAATAAGGTTTCAGGAAAGCAGCGAAGTATTGAAAGAAGACGATGAGGTGATGGATAGCATACCTCAGCAATTATGAGGGCCTAAGATCGATGGGGAAGCCCCACATTGATATGTTGGATTTACGCTACATGGCTAAGCAACACCGAGGCGCCCTCTCTGGGGAAAGCAATCTTGAGACCTCCCCTGCGTAGTTCAACACTACCGCACAGATCTAAGCCGACTTGGGTAACCAAGTCCGGAAGACAAAAATAAATGGCTTGTTTCAAACAGCATGCTCTTACTTACTTTCAAAAGAGTAAGCTCACGGAGTTGATGTGGTAATTCTCCAGACGATATACTTCACCTCGTTATTATGCAAGCACTCGAAGAGACACAACGCATTACATTTGAACTACATTCCAACGAAGGCTTAAAAACTCTATCGGAATGGCGCTGGCTCCAACTGTTTATATTGTGAATGCTTTAAGAGAGGCTATGAAGAACCAGCATTCACTAATCCCAGTAGTAGACTTTTTGGATCCGCCAATAAAGATTGCGGAGTATCAAACTCAACAACTCTTCCATTATCAAGACCCAAGATTTTATCCGAATCCAAAATTGTGTCGATTCGGTGAGCAATGGTTATCACAGTTCTGTCCTTTGCTTTCTTCCTCACCACTGCCTGGATGACTTTATCCGTTTCGAAATCAACGGAGGCCGTAGCTTCATCCAAAATGAGTATATCCGATTTCTTCAAGAGCGCTCTTGCCAAGCAGAAAAGCTGTTTCTCTCCAACAGAGAACTTAGAGCCGTTTTCACTAACTTCGTATTGCAATCCTTGAGGAAGCTCCTTAATAGTATCAAGGAGATGCACATCTTTCAATGCGTCCCAAAGATCATGATCCAGGTACTCATCAAATGGGTCGAGATTGAATCTGATTGAACCTGGAAGAATATAGGTGTCTTGCGAGATAACACTGAGTCCTTTCCTCAAAGTTGTTAGCTTGATTTTGCTGATGTCAGTACCGTCAATTGTAATTCTGCCTCCAGTTGAAGGTAACATTCTGAATAACGCAAGAATGAGTGAACTCTTGCCTGCTCCAGTTCTCCCAATAACCCCCAACTTCTCACCTTCATTGGCGGAAAAGGAAACTCCTCGAAGAGCCAGCTCTGCTGTTCCAATATAGGCCCCGGAATAATTCTCAAATTGAATTTTTCCTTTTGGCCTCCAAGTATAATCGACGTCCAGTTGGTCACTGTCTTCCTCCTGTTCCAAATCCGTGTACTCGAAACATCTTTCAACCGCCGTGAAATGTCCTTCCAATTTAGAAAAAGCACCAACTATCTGCTTAAAGGACACCGAAATTGTCGATGCATAACCCAAATTTGAGCCCACAGTTCCGCCTGATATGTTGCCTTGTCCACTCCTAAAAACAAAGAATAGCGACGTGAGAAAGGTAAGAGCTGATGTAATCAAGTTCAACCGCAAATCGAGCCATTCTGACACATAGAGGTTCAAGAGGGAAGACCCAACCTCAAAGTTGCAATCCAAAATACTTCTTCTGGTGAATCTTTCCGTTTGACGGAAGGTCCTTATAGTCTCTGCTCCGTCTAGTGTTTCTTGTAAAAGTGTAAAAAATGGGGTTTTGGTGATAATACCAAAACTCTTAAGCTCTCTTTCAGCACCAATGTATACCCAGTTGTAGTAGCAAAACCCCGAGGCAACAATGACTAAGATGGGTATGGTAGAGGGAGACTGATAAATGATCAGAAGGACCGACAATAAAGCTGAGGATGAGTTTTTGAGCAATTGATATAGATTCTTTGGAAGAGCGGTTTCAATATTGTATAAATGGGTCATGTATCTTTGAAGGACATTTGCTCTTGGTGTTACATCGAAGAAGCTAATTTTCGATCCAACAAGGCTAAGGGTCATGTCAATGAATATTTTGTTGGCACCTTCGAGACCCAAATTGCAAAGTAAAAACCATCCTCTTACAAAATTCATGCACTCATTTGCAAATCCGATAATAGCATAGCCAGTAAGGTAATGGAAGCCATCCTGATGTTCGTTCTCAGTCCACTTTTTGAGCCACAAATCTGTAGTTAGCTGAAAAGTAATAGCTAGGGTAGACAATACACCCATGATGATCAAATTTGTTCGAGAGAAGGCTTTGAAATACCTCAAGTACACTTCACTTCTTATTTTCCTTGACTCGTTTGCCGGACGTTGTTTGTATTTCTCCACATGCAATTGAAAGGGATTATAAGGATCATGGTGACGCTTGATGCTTTCGGAGTTCCCTACTGGAGGCCCGTCCTGTAAAGCCAAGTGCTTAGTAGTCGAATGCCCACTCGCCAGTGCCCTATCCTCGATGATCTTACCGTTATCAATGTAGTATGAACGGTCTGCGTGAGCTCGAATTAGCTGATTATTCGTAGCAAAAACAACAGTTTTGCCCGCTAGGACTCCATTTTCTGAAAACACTTCTGTAAATAGCTTTTTACCGACATGGTTGTCCACGGCACTGAGGACATCATCTATCAAGTAAACATCTGCCTCAGAGTAGACGGCCCTGGCTAAAGCAATTCTCGCCTTTTGACCACCAGATAATGTATAGCCCATATCTCCAACAATAGTTTTGTCTCCGAGGGAGAATCTCTCGATATCAGGAGTGAGTTGACAAACGTCAAGCACCTTCTCATACATACCCTGGTCGTAGATCTTCCCAAAGAGTATATTATCACGTATCGTCTCGTTCAAAAGCCATGGAGTTTGGCCGACATTAGCCATTGAGCCATTGACAACCGCCTTGCTGTCGTTGCTCATAGATTCAAGACCACCTGAAATAGCGGAAAGTAGAGCAGTTTTGCCGGATCCGCTTCTACCGAACAAGCAAACAAATTCACCTTTTGCCACAGTGAAATCAATCTCTTTCAAGATGCATTTCCCGGACGTCGAATCCCAGGAAAAGTTGCCTTGGATCTCTATCGCGTTACTCGAGTTATTTGACTCAACCTCAAGATTGAGCTCCTTGCAATTCAAGAAATCTACAACCCTCTCAAGGGAAACTTTCGCATTGGCAGTGGCAGATATCAACTGAGGAATCTTCTGAACTGGAATCGAGAGAAGGACAAGCAAATGCAAGGTAGGATAGATGACGTCTGCCTGCAAGGGTCGATTTTGAAAATAGGTGTAGCAGGCAAACGTTGTCAACGACAAGAGAAAAGGCTGTATCAGCCACAACAGCTCAAATAGCAAATTAAAGGCTTCCTTAGATCGGGCAGCTGGGTCAACAACTTCAAGTCTTGTTTGAAAGAGCCTGCTCACCATTATGTCTTCCAACGATTGAAGTTTGAGTAGCTTGATTGAAGAGAAGAGGTTACTGACTGCAGTAGTGAACCTTCCTCTCAGGATCCGATATAGCCTAAATCTGGCCATGTAGAGTTCCAATATTTTAGACTTTAGCGGAACCATGATACCAAAAAGTAACAAACCACCGAGCATTGAAGACCCCACTAGCCGCCAAAGAGAGTACAAACAAAGGAGAAGCTGAATTGGCACCAATATAAAGTCTCCGCTTAGCCGAATGCCGATCGTGATAGCACGAACGTCGACTTTGACGTAGTTTAAAATTTTGCCAATCGCATAAGTTTCACGACTGCTTCGTGATAATCGCTGACTTTTTTTGTACAATATCGTCAGTAGAGCAGTTGAGATTTCATTGGCTGAAATCTGGACAATATAGTTTTCGTAGGCGGAAAATCCTTTCCCGATAATATCATTGACACATAGTGAGAATGAAAGAATTACCCCATCAATCAAGGCAACATCCTTGCCAAGGTACCGCTGCTCAATGAACTGTAGAAGCCTTTTCAACAAGTAAGCTCTAAGAAAATACAGTTGGTATTTGAGTGTTTCTAGAATCAAAGACTTGAGCAAGTTTGGATAAAACGAGTAGAGGAGGCAAGTAACAAATGATCTGATATCTGAAACTCCACTTATGTTACTTTCAAGACGATCACTAGCATCTGCAGAATCAAACTCTTGATATATCTTGACAAGATGATCAGGCTCAATGCGTCCAGATGTGTAACAGTCCTGAATGATTGGATTGATCTTCGTCAAGAGGATATCAGATCTGAAGCTCTCTAAGTATGTCCACCAGTGTTTCTTCGACTTGGTCGCGCTCGGTGTAAACCAGACGAGAGTCTCTAGTGCTATCAAAATTAGTTCCACCATGAAAACTATTTGTGAAGGATAGCCACAGTCTGACTGAAGAAGCCAGCTTTTGGCTGCCTCGTAGATCCAAAAAAGTGTAAGAATAGGCTGTGAGTACCCGTCTGTGAAGCAGTCGATGTAATGAAGCGGAAGCGTTGAGATCTTAGTGGCAATTGAAAGTCGGTCTGACAGGGACTGCAATAGAGCTATAAAAACAATTGTCACCGCCAATGCCAATCTCAATTTACCTGCCCCATTGAACCCTGAAACAGGAGCACCAAAAGCTCTTCTGTAGACCACAGTCACCGCCAAAATGGCCGAAAGGAAACCAAGTTGAACAATTTGTTCAATGGAACTCAAACTCTTTTGAAGAGAAACATAATGATCCATCTCTGGTGAGAGCTTAGTAGGAGACAGGGACGTCATAGGCTTATCAAGTATGCCCTCCGAACGCGCGGCTTAAGGTTTGACGTGCATAACCGAAGCCACAATGTAATTCCTTATCGCGAACAGTTGGTCCTTCTGAGTAGATAAGAGGGTCTAAAGTGGGCCATGGTAAAAAGTGAAGAATGCGAATCATTCCAGCGGACTTTTACGGTGGTACTTGCAAACTGTTCCATCATTATATGATTTAGTTGCAATTAGTAAGCGATTAGTTGAAAATGCCTTAAATGCTTAATAGCAGCGAGGTGTGAATTGAGATTGAACTGTTTCGAGTACAAAATCTTTACGGTAAAAAATGGACATACACATCGACTTCAAGAATAGTAGGTTGATATGCGAACGCGCTTCGATAGCCCATTTAGCCCATCTGACAGGCTAAAATTTGTTGTGAAAAATTTTTTTGTTCATAAGAATATCCATAGTATGAAAAATATTCGACGATCTAAGCAAACCTCTTAATCATATGAATTGGTCAAGCGAATGAAGAGTCCTCATTGATATGATGTATGGGGTTCAACTACAGTACCTGCTTCTTACTTATGGCCAAGCAAAATACATGACCTCCAAAGTTTTTACTTTGGTAGGATCTAGAGAACCAAATCAACGCCCTTGACTCGCTCCTTGCACCAGAAAAACCATGCTACTTCTCGACCAAGTGATTCTTTCCTCTCTATGAGATCACTTGCAGTGCGTCTCCTCGGATTTTGCAATGTGTCAAGTGCACTGGCTTCAAAACCTGTGTCTGCAAAAATCCACTCGTATACCTCTTCAATCTCACAAAAAGGCCACTTTAAACAAACCTCAACAATCAAATCAATCCCGAAAGTCCGCCATCAATTTCTCCAGGCCATCGACTTCTGACCTCTAGGTCCACGGTCATTGGTCGAGAGATCCGGGGGCATGCGCACTTCCGGCCCCACCTAAACCGCGCCGGTACCGGAACTGACTCATGAAAATTCTGCAACTACAAGTTCGAGAGTAATACGTCTTTTTCGTCTAGCTAAGCATGTCTTTCGTTAGCAGGGCACATTTCATACAGCTGCGGGGCTTCTCGCGCTCTGCTGTCGCCTACGCAAAGAAATTGAACAAGTACTCGTCTATTGTCACCGAAGATGTTTCTCAAGGTGCATCCCAGGCCATGTTGTACGCTACTGGTTTCTCGGATGAGGACTTCCACAAGGGCCAGGTTGGTGTTGGATCCGTCTGGTGGGGAGGAAACCCTTGTAACATGCACTTGATGGACCTCAATCACCAGTGTACCGAGTCTGTCAACAAGGCTGGTCTTAAAGGCATGCAGTTCAACTCCATCGGTGTTTCTGACGGTATCACCAACGGTACCGAGGGTATGAAGTACTCCTTGCAGTCCAGAGAGATTATTGCCGACTCCTTCGAGACCATGATGATGGCCCAGTTGTACGACGGTAACATCGCCATCCCATCTTGTGACAAAAACATGCCCGGTGTGCTTATGGCCATGGGTAGACACAACAGACCTTCTATCATGGTCTACGGTGGTACCATCATGCCTGGATCGCCCTCCTGCTCTTCTCCAGAGGTGGGTGAGAAAATCGATATCATTTCCGCTTTCCAGTCCTACGGTCAGTACTTGTCTAAGTTGATCACCAATGAAGAGAGAAAAGATGTTGTTCGTCATGCCTGTCCTGGTCCAGGTGCCTGTGGTGGTATGTACACTGCCAACACCATGGCTTCTGCCGCCGAAATCTTGGGTATGTCTTTGCCATACTCTTCTTCTGCTCCAGCTGTTTCCAAGGAAAAGGCTGAAGAGTGCGCCAACATTGGCCAGGCCATCAAGCACTTGATGGAAATTGACTTGAAGCCAAGAGAAATCATGACCAAGAAATCTTTTGAAAACGCCATCACCTACATCATCGCCACGGGTGGCTCCACCAACGCCGTGTTGCACCTTATCGCCATTGCTTCCTCTGTCGGTGTGGAAATCACCGTGGACGACTTCCAGAGACTTTCTGACAGCACCCCATTGTTGGCTGACTTCAGACCTTCCGGCAAATACGTCATGGCTGATTTGCAAGCCAGAGGCGGGACCCCGGCTGTGGCCAAGATGTTGTTGGAGGAGGGCTTGCTTGATGGTGATCAGATGACTGTTACCGGTTTCACGCTCAAGGAAAACTTGGACAAATTGCCAGGTTTGCCCGAGGGCCAGGACATTGTCAGACCTTTGTCGAACCCATTGAAGCCAAGCGGTCATTTGCAAATTCTTAAGGGTACCTTGGCTCCAGGCTCTGCTGTTGGTAAGATCACTGGTAAGGAGGGTACCTACTTCAAGGGTAAGGCTAGAGTTTTCGACGCCGAGGACCTCTTTATTGAGGCCTTGCAGGCTGGAGAGATCAAGAAGGGCGAGAAGACCGTCTGTGTGATCAGATACGAGGGTCCTAAGGGTGGTCCAGGTATGCCTGAGATGTTGAAGCCTTCTTCTGCACTTATGGGCTACGGATTGGGCCAGGACGTTGCACTTTTGACTGACGGAAGATTCTCCGGTGGATCCCATGGTTTCTTGATCGGTCACATTGTTCCAGAGGCCGCTGTGGGTGGTCCAATTGCCTTGGTGTACGATGGTGACGAGATCGTCATCGACGCCGAAAACAACAGAATCGACTTGTTGGTCGACGAGGCCGAGTTGGCCGAGAGAAGGAAGAAGTGGCTGGCTCCAGAGCCAAGATACAAGAGAGGTACCTTGCGCAAGTACTCTCTTTTGGTGAGCGATGCCTCCAAGGGCTGTGTCACCGACTTGTAAGCGCCAAAATCTCATCAGGGAGCAAATGTCTTTGAACAGACTCGCCCCCGCTTCATTTCTACATAAGTTATTCGCATCACACTATCCTAATGAACGGATTTGCATTCATGAATTGTAATGGCTGCGAAATTGTGGGTTGAAGGTGGTCCACATCACCACATCACCACTGCACCAAAGCCACCTAAACCGGGATGTTATACCATATTATTGGCAAAAATTTCATCAAAACACAAAAAACTTGAAGCTTTTGGGGTTTCTGACGAAATCAGCTCGGAATCGCCGAGGGCTCCACGTGACTGCATTAGCCTCTCATCTTCAGTTTCTCTTCTCTACTACAACCGCAGAATGCCTTCCACGCCAAATCTGATAAAAATCGTCACAGGCAACTCTCACAGAGCTCTTGCTGAAAAGGTGGCCGCCAAGCTAGGCATGAAGGTCTCCAAAGTGGGGGCCTTCCAGTTTTCCAATAAGGAAACCGCTGTGGCCGTGGGTGAATCAATGAGAGATGAGGACGTCTATGTCATTCAGACCGGTTACGGCGAAACCAAGATTAACGACTATTTGATGGAGCTTCTCTTCCTCATCAATGCCTGTCGTGTGGGAGGAGCAAGAAGAATCACAGCTGTGCTCCCCAATTTCTTCTATGCTAGACAAGATAAGAAAGACAAGTCTAGAGCACCCATCACGGCAAAGTTGATCGCCAACTTGTTACAAACGGCGGGCTGCCATCACGTCATTACTCTCGATTTGCACGCTTCGCAAATCCAGGGTTTCTTCAGAGCTCCAGTGGACAACTTGTACGCTGAACCCTCGACTTTGAGGTTCATCAAGGAACACTACAACCCCGAGGACTTGACCATTGTTTCACCGGACGCAGGTGGAGCCAAAAGAGTTGCATCCATTGCCGACAAGCTAGATACTCCGTTTGCTTTGATCCACAAGGAAAGGCAAAAAGCGAATGAGGTTTCCAAGATGGTCCTTGTTGGTGATGTCGACAACAAGACTTGTATTCTTATCGATGATATTGCTGACACCTGCGGCACGCTCTGCAAAGCCGCTGAGGTGCTTTTGGAGAATGGTGCCAATAAGGTGATCGCTATGGTGACCCACGGTATCTTCTCTAAGAACGCAATTGAGAAACTCAACAACTCCAAACTAGACAAGATCATATGCACAAACTCCTTGCCTTTAGAAGACAAGTTGGAGAGATGCCCCAGAATCGAAATATTAGACATCAGCCCTACTATTGCAGAGGCCATCAGAAGATTGCACAACGGTGAGAGTGTGTCCTACTTGTTCAACCACGTCCCCGAATAGTTGTATTTACCTATTCAGCCTGTATCATATACCAGATAATGCCGACATTGAGCAGAAATGGATTTTCTGCCACATTATTAACATTAGAATCAGTCACCTCATGCTGTGTAATAGACCCAATGCGACTCACAATCCAATCACGGCTGCTGCCATTCTCCGCTTTGCTTTCATCGAGGAAGTAATTAGGTGCCTCGATATTGAAAGCTGTCCAAGGCGGCTTGGAACTGGTTTGCCCGTCCACTCTATCCACGTGGGTTGGGAGGAATAACACTAGGTCCCCGGCCTCGAAGTTGTTGACTGTGATCTTGCTGGCCACCAGCCTACGGAGTTTCGACACCTCCTGATTCATAGTCTTGTTCTCCTTAGAAAGCTTCTTGGCAAAACCTTCAACGTCCTTGAAACGCTTGAATATGCCGTTAAGGAAGAACTTTTGGTTCACAATAGCATTCTTCTCATCTTGCAATTGTAGTTGAATATCCTCAGTAAAGGAAATAAGCTTGAGGAACTTGGAGAAGTCAGACTTATTCTTTTCATCCGAATCCCCAAAAGCATTGTAGTACGTCTCAATGAGTTTTACAGCTTCAGCTTCTTCCTTGTCGGCTTCACCAGTACTTTTGACCTCGTCAGCACTCTCAGCCTCCAAATCGACTTTTGAAGATGGGATCAAAGTACCCAAGATTTCTCTCCAAGCCATACTACTTTCGACTTCGGAAACCACGCTGGTGTGAAAGTTCTTATCAGGAATGATTAGAGAGTCTTGGGCTTCATCCTCATTACTCTTCTTGGATCTCAAGCCTTTGACTCTGCGTACTTTATATTCAAACTTGTTGACATCGGACTTCGAATCTGCCTCTTTGACAAGTAACAAGCCCATCGATTCCAAGATGTAACA